CCCACTGATGGGATGAAAGAACCAAAAATCAAAGTTGTTGCCATTCAGTTGATTCTAATTTACACCAAACTTACAGGACACTGCAGAACTGCACCATTGCTTTCCAAGAATGTAATTTTGGGGGGAGATTTTTCACATATTTTTTTTTCCTTTGAAGAGTTGGTGGATTTGAACTATCAGCTTTATGGTTGGCATAGGAGCTTATAATCACTGTGTAAGCAGGGCTCCCACAAAATCAATTGATTGTCCATGGAATGGATTCTGTCTTAAAAGCAATCCTGGGAGACAGAGCAGACCTGCCCAGAGTTCCCAAGGTTTATTCTTTACAGACGCAGACTGCCACATCATTTTCCTTTCTTAAGGAAGAGCTGGTGGGTTTGAACAGCTGACGTTTTGGTTAGCAGCTGAGCACTTAATGGTAGCAACATGAGACTCCTTCTGGTGGGGTTTATCTAAAAGCAGGTCCCTGCCTTCTTAGCAGCCGGGATGCAGCGGGATTTGGACCTTGACAAAAAGGCATCGGTTATTTTTCATACAAGGGGCTGTAAACAGAGAAGACTGGCTGCTCTTCAAGGGATGGGATAGAGGAGAAAACAGTCAAGTGACACACATTACAGCCTACCAGAAACTGTATGACCCTATCCTTTTACTTTCCTGCCCACTGTATGTTCGTGTGTGAAACGGGGATTTTGGCGTCTGCACGGTTACCATGGAGGTTAAAGGAGCGAAGAGACACTCTGTTCAAGTGGTTGGGGCTAATAATAGCACTACTAAAAATAACAATGGAAACTTCAGCGCCTTGTATGTATTGTGCCCTGCGCTAAGTGCTTTACACCCTTTAGTAATGTAGTCACCACAAGGCATTTTCCAAATGAGGAAACGGAGGCTCAGTGTTATCTTTCTAGGGCTTGCTAGAGGGGGCTCATCCCGGCTCCTCAGGCCCGGCCGAGGCAGTTGGAGGCTGGGGGCGGATTCAGCCTGAAGCAGACGATCGACTCGGTGCCCAGCCGTGGAAGGGTCGGAGGGCAGGGGACGGGGTCCGCACCTGCAGCCCAAGAAGAGGTGGTTGGCCCAGACCATGGAGAGAGACAGGAGCTGGTCCAGGCGGCCGCTGCCGTCGGGCGGGTCGCGGTAGTCTGGCAGGTGACGTAGGATGAACTCCATCCGGGCTTTCCATTGCTTCTCGCTTTCCGAATAAGTACGGAACTGCTCCGCGAAGTCGGCCGCCTGCCGCACCCCTGAAACCAGTTCTTCCACCGCGGCGGCGGCCTCGCCACCCACCCAATGAATGAATATTAGGAGGAAAAAGTGAACTGGAGGAGGGGCAAGAAAGGGGGAGGGTGGGAAAATGTGCAATAATGAATGAATGAAACTCCAGCTTTTCTGTAAACTTCCATTAAAATCACAATTAAAATTAAAAAATTATTTAAAAAAAAACCCGCACACCCAGACCATTAAAACCACAAACCACTAAAAAACCCGAAAAACAACAATAACAACAACAAAAAAACAACCCACCACACCACAAACTGAAACCAACAAAACTCAAATTCATTTCTTTGGAGTCTTTCACTCATAGCTGACCCTCTCTTAGGTTTCCAAGGCTGTAAATTACACATCATTCTTCCATGGAGCTGCTAGTGGGTTTGGGCCACCAGAGTTGTGGTGTTTGGGTTACAGGCCAGGCCTCGAAGAGCTCCCTATGTTTTAAATATTTTCTTGCTCCAGCCCCCTCACCTTGCTTCTGCAGCTACTCCTGCAAGTGCCTCCTTAAGGAAATTCTCCAATACCAGCAGAATGTTTATCTAGGAGATCAAGGGAAATTGTGAGTTAAACCCATTACACAAAAAAGCATTTTGTATGCTAGAACAATTTGCTGCCATTTCATACTATTCAGCCCTTACATAAGAAATCTAGTATTTTAAAATATAAAGTTTCAGGGGAAGCTCTGGTGGCCGGCCTAGTGGCAAGAAGCTGCACTGCAACCACAGAGGTACACTGTTCAAATCCACCAGATGCTCTGCTGGAGAAGGAGGGATAATCTCCTCCTGTACCAGATCTGATTTGATGGTAGACACACACAAAGAAATAATAAAATTTAAAAAACCCATAAAGTTCCCAAGACATATAAAGGTTGGAATTTGGTCAATGTTGGCACATACCAGAAACATGGAGGCCTAGAAGAACATACCCAGTAGAGGCTCACTAGTATTCGCTCAGAAAGGACTATTTTGAACTGGTGTCCTTGGTCTCCCTATGAACATTAAAGGAGGGTGGCACCAGAAGAACTGTGCTTGGCTTCTGAGACCATATTTACATCACTTTTATGTCAACATCTTGTTATTAGGTGTCATTGAGTCTGTCCTGACTCATGGCAATCCTTTGTACAACAAAACAAAACATCACCCAGTCCTGCATCACCCTCACAACAGTTTCAATGTTTGAGCTCATTATTGTTGAACTTGTATGTCTTTTTGAGAGACTTCCTCTTTTTTGCTGAACCTCTACTTTATCAAGGACAATGTCCTTCTCTAGGTACTGGAGTCTTCCTGATAACTTATCCAAAGCATGAGATATAAAGTGAGCAGATTTACTTACTCTTCTGTCAGTCCACAGTACATTCATTGTTTGTCATCAATACCACAATTCAAAGGCACCAATTCTTCTTCAGTATTCTCTATTCATTGCTCAGCTTTCACACTATGTATGAGGCAAATGAAAATACTATGGCTTGGGTCAGGCCCACATTAGTCCTCAAGGTGACTACTTGGTTGGTTTCTCTTTCTGAGAAGGTCATACAAATAGATCTGTCTTGGAGAAAGTGAAACCAACTTTCTCCTTGGAGGCTAAGGACATGTGGTCAAGAGGGACCAATCCTTGGAGGACATCATTCTCTGAAGGGTAGAGGGACAGCGCAGGAGGCGAAGACCCTAGACAAGATGGATTGATATAGTGACTAGGGTAATGGGGATAGGTGTATTGGAGTCAGTGAGACTGGCTCTGGACAGGGCAGGCTTCAGAGCTGTTGTACGTAGGGTTGCTATGAATTGCAGAAGACTAAATGGGACACAACAACAACATAGCTTATTGGAGTTCCTTTTGCTCACTGAGAAAGCTGAAAGGCAACTGTTACCCTAATTACAACAACCACAAATGCTGTTTAGATATTGAGTTATCTTCAGTTTTATTTGCTTTCTCCCCTCTACTTTGGATCAAATATGGGTTTGTTCTGACTCCACAGTACACAAAAACAAAAATAACATTTCTCTTTTCCTCCCTACCCTGTCCACCAGCTAGGAAAGAGAAGCTAGCTGTATAGTTTTTAAATTGTGATTTGAATGAAAGTTTACAAAGAAATTGTCTTTTCATTCACTCATTCATAGATTTATCTCCCTTTCCCTCCCTTCATTCCCTAACGCATGTCTTGTATCAGCTTGTTAGTGCATTACTCATAATGCCCTTTTTCAGAATTGCCTTCCCTTAAGCTAGTCATGGTTATCTTGATTTTTATCTTGATAAAGAGTTATCTTGGTTCTTAAATGGAGTCACTGTCTCCATGAGTTTTTAAGGTTTTTAGCTGTTTTCAAATGTTGATTGGCTGCCTACATTTCTATTTTGTGAACTACTGTTTTATATCTTTGGTGCATAGTTCTATTGGGTTGATTTCTCTTTGATCTATAATAATTATTTACAAAATATGAACATATACTATTGTTTCTTAGAATATATATGGTTTATTTCTTTTCCAGGCTGTCATGTACCTTTTAATTTTGCTTATGATATCTTTTGCCAGCAGAAGTTTTAAATTTTTAAGCAGTCTAATCCATCAACCTTTTCCTTTGTGGTTTCAGAACTGTTTCACATTTGAATTGCTATGTGGAGGCAATGTGGTATATAGAGGAAAATGTACTGAGGTCAGGAAGAACTTGGTTCTAATTATGGTTGCCACTAACTAGCAGTGTGGTTGTGGACACATCTTCAAGCCTAAATTCTCTCACCTATACAATGTAGTTAGACTGGACAGCAGATGTCTTCTAAGATCCCTTCCTGCTTCAATTCAACTATGACTCAAAATTCTCATATTCTAGAATTATAAAGCTTATTTTCTTAAGTAGGCCAAACGTTCTCCCAGAAATTAACACCTCCAATCAGCCTAGCAACATTTTCATCGTGTCAAGTATAACCAGTGCCTGAATTGTCAAAAGTTCTGACTTTGGGGGATCTGAATTAATGACTTGAATTTTTATATAAAATGTGATGAGTTTTTATTCACCTCACTTACCAACTGTAGACATATAGAGAGCAAATACTGCCTTTATTTTGTACTGTACACTATGTATGGGGAGCTCTGGTGGCTTATTGTTAAGAGATTGCACTGACAATTCAAAGGTACATGGTTGAAATTCACCAGTTACTCCATGGGAGGAAGATGGACAGTCTTCTCCGGTGTGATTTACTGTCTCTGAAAATCTGCTGGGATGGTCAGCTATGGGTTGATTCAGACTCAATGATACACAACAACACTATGCATAATGTGGAGCCAAAAGTCAATAGCTATTTAAAACAACTTCTAATAGTTTTTTATGACAATGAATTTAATTAATGATAACGGAAGAACTTTTCTTTTTTTTCTCCTTACATTTACCATATCTGATTTGGTAGCCACAATAATCCTACAAGACATAGAAGACAGGATATATTTTTCCAATTATAGATCATGAACTACTCTTCAGAAACATTAAATAGTTTTTGCAAAGTCATCCTAATGCCAGTGCTAGAACTTTTCTGAAAATAATACTATTTCTAAGAAAGAATTTATTGGCCATAGTTTCCTCACCAATAATTTCACAGTAGAAATATCAGTGATCTATGAGATAAGATCATAGTGGTCAGATAAATGAAAGAAAATAATAAAACTGAAAAACAGAAGTAATACTGAGAATTAGATAATATAAACTACTGACTGTTTATTATAGGTAAATATACTAGCTATATATTTATTTCTACATTAAAACATGTAAATAAACATCCTTTGGAAACAAAGTGACATTTCTTTTAATACCTTGGTATATTGTACAGCATGAAACATGAAAGAAATACTATATAACTTTTTATATAAGAGAACAAAAATTCTGAGGATATTTTTAGAAAAAATGAAATTCAATACCTAATTTGGAGGGAAATGAACAGGACAAGAAAATGAAAAGTCATTAAAAACTAAGGAAACATAAAACATAGTTGATTTGATTGTTAACATTGTTGTGTTTTTGTTGTACCATCAAGTCAGAACCAACCCACAGATGATCCTCTGGTGGGTTTTCAGGGCAGTTAATCACACAGGAGGAGATTTTCCATCTTTCTCCCCTGGAGTGGCTGGTGGCTTCCAATCATGTACTTCCAGGATTGCAGCATAGTTTCTTGCCAAGCATTGATGCCATAATAAAGCAGGTTGAATGGGTGGAAAACTGAGGAGAAAAGAAACTGTTATAAACATTGTATTATTTGGAACAGAATGTTTTAAGAAATTTTTTGCCATTTACTGGAAAAGAAATTTGTTCTAAGATGAGGAAATTATATAATGCAAACATAAAGCTGGATTTTTATTCAGAAAATCTAATTGATAAATGTTGTTGTTGTTATGTGCCATCGAGTCGTTTGCGACTCATAGCGACCCTATGTACAACAGCCCTAAACCATGCTCTATCCTGTGCCAATCTCATTGCCTCTGACACACCCGATTACCTCAGTCACTGAATCAATCCACCTCATAGAGGGTCTTCCCCTCCTGCACTGTCCTTCTACTCTACCCAGCATGATATCCCTCTCCAAAGACCTGTCACTCCTTATAACATGTCCAAAGTATGCCAGACGAAGCCCCAGAATCCTTGCCTCCAAGGAGCAGCCTGGTTTAATCCTCTCTACGATGAATCTGTTTGTTTTCTTGGCAGTCCATGGTACATTCAATACTCTTATCCAGCACCACAGCTCAAAGGCGTCAATTCTCCTTCTATCCTCCATAGTCATTGTCCAACTCTCTGATGCATAGCAAGTGATTGCAAAGACCATAGCCTGTATCAGATGCACCTTAGTCTCTAGAAGGACACCATTGCTCTTCAGTACCCTGGAGAGGTCCCTAACATCAGACTTTCCCATCTCAATACTTTTTTTTTTTTTTATTTCCTGGCTGCTGGTGCCAAGAGTGTTGACCGTGGAGCTGAGCAAACTGAAGCTGTGAACAATCTCAATCTCTTCACCATCCATCCTGATGCTACCGATTGGTCCAATGGTGAGAATTTTTGTCTTCTTGACATTGAGCCCCATTTCAGCTAACAGATGCTGCCCTGGATGTGCTCATCAAGTTGTGCCAAGAAATCTGGAGAACAACTACTTGGCCAACTGACTGGAAGAGGTCTATATTTGTTCCCATCCCAAAGAAAGGTGACCCAACTGAGAGTGGAAACTACAGAACTATATCATTGATTTCACATGCAAGCAAGATTCTACTGAAGATTATCCAAAAATGACTGGAACAGTACATCAGCAGAGAACTGCCAGAAGTCCAGGCTGGGTTTAGAAGGGGTCGTGGTACTAGGGATATTGTAGCTGATGTCAGATGGATCTTAGCTGAAAGCAGGGAATACCAGAAGAATGTCTATCTGTGTTTCATTGATTATGCAAAGGAATTTGACTGCATGGATCATAACAAACTGTAGCTGACTCTGAGAAGAATGGGAATCCCAGAACATTTAATCATGCTAATGTGAAACCTATATTTGGACCAAGAGGCAGTCGTCAGAACAGAGCA